GGGTCACCCGTCACTGTTCCTCCCAAAGTAAGCCTTGATTGCGAGCACGGATCAGCTCCGATGGTAAGTCCTAACTTTGAATGATAGGCAGCCTCTACATACATCCTTCAAGGGAGAAGAGAGGAACGCGTAAACCGCTCGAACCGAGCCGGCGGAATGGCATATCTTTCGGGTCGAACTCGAACTGTACCCCTGGCATCGTGATTACCTCGATCTAACCGATAAACGTCAGGAGTTGGCTAATACTAGGCGGTATGGGGAATGCGATTCCGACAACTTGGTGACTGTGCTCCGGAGAGATGGTGGCGGTGGGACAAGAAGTTACGTTCACAGTCCTAGTCGAGAGTATGTAAGCCCGAATATTTGCCGAATATGAGCATCGTATTAACATTGCGTCGTTAGTTGTCAGAGAAAATAAGTCTGGAGTTGTCGAGCAAGTGTTGATGCTAACATAGAAGCTTAGATGCTCATGCGTCACGAGCCAATTGACCTTGACTCCAGCTCTGGCATGACTTGACGCCTGTAAACGCATTTGACCATTGTTGTTCTCGCGTTCCTGAGACTAGGCGGTCATCGGCGTAAAATGAACGTACAGTCCCCGTTATGCTTGTGAGTCCGCCATGAATTACAAATGCGAAAGAATGACGGCTCACTATCGAAGTTGTATGTGTGCAAAGCCATTTGAAATTAAGACGTTTTTTAGGATAAAATGGTGACAATGGAGGAACTTTTTCAAAAGGACGAGATGGAAGAATGATATAAGGTGCTAAAAGACACACCAATCAGAGTCATTCGTTGTCGCCCTCCAAGAACCCAAACTCACAAATGACATGATATTAAAGTATAAGAGCCGATCATTCAAGGATATAAGTGGTCACAAAAATGAATACGATGAGTGCTCTCGGATCTCAGTTGTACGATATGGAGCCGTCGATCAAGTACACAACACCATTCGACCCCTAACGGGGGTGGGTATAAGTGAGATACCTTGGTGCGGTAAACAACATGAATTGTCGCACCTCCTTCATTCCAATGATGCGGACGCCTTCTTCTAATGTGACTTGGCTCCACTGGAGGCCTTTACCATCCCTCTTGCTGATTGGCGTGAATGCGATCGATTTTCCTTCAAGAAGAGTGGGGTGTACTTGTGTATCGAGAGCGATAGGGTGTTCCTGCAACATGGAATGATGTTAGCATGAAACAACATGACATCCTTTTCTGACGCACAGGAACAATATGAGCAGAAACCCATGTCTCGACATTCTTCTTCGATCTGCTATCATACTCCTCCTGGCTTATCGTAATTTCATCGTCAGGCGATGTCGGTGGTCCTTGATGACTTCAATTCGACAATTGTCGGCGCGCCAGGTCTCAAGACTTCACTGGAACTTACGGTTTACGCGCCAGAGCCATAACTGCCTTGTTCGTCGGCACGAAAAGGGTCAACTTGGATGAAGAGTCGGCAAATTTCGCACTGAGTTCAAGTTCGCGGGCATAGGAGTAAAATATCGACGCAGAGGGCTCTATGGTCAGAAGATCTGCTAGAGAGGGCTGAGAATGTATCAAGGGGGCCTCTTCGACGGCTGATTGTTGGTCGAACATTGGGATTTGCTCTTCCTGCGATGCAAATGAAAGTAATGGGAAGGCGAGAACGCCGAGGAAATGAAGGCGCATGGTGGAGAAGAGGTCAAGGCTCTTGACTGATGGAATCCAAACAGAAGGTGCTTTACACAGCCACATAGCTACATCATCTTTTTTATCTTCAAGTCATTGTTTTGGTGGAAACGCCCACAGTTGCTGCC